AAAAAAAAGAAAGAAAGAAAGAACCCACTTCCAAGAAGCCACTGAGTCAGGACCACACATCTTAAACTGCTGCTTATAGTCTTACGATATTACAATGTAATACAGTTTGTCTAATTTTTATTTTATTATTATTATTATTTTTGATACCGGGGATCAAACTCGGGTCCTTGCGCTTGCGCAGCAGGCGGCAAAACCACTGAGCTAAATCCCCGGCCCTTAGTTTTTCTAATTTTTAAACCAGGCCCCAGACTCCAGCGTTCATCAAAGATCTTCATGGTGTTGAGCAGTGGAGAAGGGGGGATAATTTGTGGACTTTGTGTATTTAATGTATTCACCTAGAAACCATGATCAACTTGGATGCATCAAATTCTTAAGAGATATCTCATCTCAGAGCCCAATCAAGTTGTCAGGATAAACATGTTTTAAGGGCAGGGTTCCATCTTCCTTGGTCGCTAGTAATTTACATGTGTATTTCATCCCACATTGTGGGGGATGCATCTAGGGATGTGATTGTACCTTTGACATATTGTAGCATTTTCATGTTGCTGTGATGGGGATTTGAGGTTTCTGTATCTACCACTGTTTCAGAATCTGTAGTTTTATACAGGTGCCAATCCGTAATGTGATGTATGTGCTATGCACATTGAGATGCCCAATACAAAGAGAAGCATTTCATCATGTATAAAAAGAACCCCACTGGACGTGATGTAAATAATCGGGAAAGGTATTAAAGATGGTGAAAACATGAAAAAAAAAAAAGACAAGTTTTGATACATGCAAGTGAGTGCTTATTAAAAATTCATGTAGCAGTGATTAAGCTTGTGAGAAGATCTCTGGCATAACATTAAGTAAGAGGGTAGTTGGCAGAGCTCTGTGGAAGGAACAGTCTGTAGGACTGGCATTGTGGGTGGAGGTGTTTTATCCTAGACTGAACCTAAGGTACTGTGAGGTTGATTGACGGTGTCAACTTCAGTAAGAGAAGCTCAACCAAACCAGCTCGGCAATTCCATACCCTAGGGAATGCCATCTCCTGGCTTCCAGCACAGACTTTCAGCTTCTGGAGTGGACTCTTCAGCCTTTCATCACAGACCCATGGGCCTCCTGATACGGACTCTGCAGTGAGCTCCGGACCTGCGACTGAATCCTTCAGTCTCCAGTGCACAGACAGACCCCCTGCACTCTTCCTCATCTGACTCTGTGAGTGGTCACTGTAAGACAATCTTGTAAATTCTTATATATATATATATATATATATATATATATTTGTATATCTCAGATTATGTCTGTTTCTCAGAAAACACTGACTGATACAGGTAGAGTGAAGAGGATGCAACCTAACTCTCCTCCCTGCACCAGCAACCATAGATCAGAGATGGAGCTCTTTTAAGAGATAGATTGCTATCCAGCAAGTGTTTAAGGGTGAATCCTGTTGGTATATTAATGCCATTAACTACATGATTTGAAGGCTTTAACTTTATTAACATTTCTTGATTATAGATACTGCAGTGGTACATACTTTCCTGATTATTGCTTTAAATACCTGTTCAATTATTTTTTGATAAACTCCTAGGGGAATGATTGGTGAATCATAAGTATTCAATGTAATTCTCTGTGGCTATAGTTTGGCATTGCAAAGGGTTTCAGTTTTTGAAAATTCGAGCTATATTTTTAGTTTAGAAACAGAAAAGTGTATTGATATATCACTTGTTTGTTGAGAAGGTTGTTATAGTGGGTTGATGAAGCCAAACTAGAAAAGATGTTGGTGTAACATACCCTCCTGTGGTATAGTCCTGAAAGAGTTAAATCATGATACTGCAGGGAGACACACATACCCATAGTCACAGCAGTGCAACTGACAATAGCTAAGCTTTGGAAGTAGCCTAAACAGCCTTCAACCAATGAACAGAGAAACTAAATCTGGTGTATGTGGTTTGACTGAAATTTGGCGAATGTTTAAAGTTTAAATATTTATTATAGTAAAAGACATTTTGCCACCACCACCACCCCCAAACACACACACACACACACACACACACACACAGACCCCCTGTCACTTATCACATCACTTAGCTGCAGCAGTTCTGAGAGTACTTTCATTTCTTTAGTTGCACTGTTATGACCGGCTCTATGTCCAGAATTGATTGAAAACATTGACGTTTCATAGTTATTTTGACTTTAGGGAAGAATCAAAAATCACAGAGTCCCACATCCAGTGAATAAGGTGAGAGGGGACACAACATAATGTTTTCACAATCCTGCCTTTCCTTAATGACACTAACACTCACCATAGCTTTTATCATCCTTTCTTTCTGTGCCCAGGATAAGGTTGTGGCTCCCAGGCCCTTTGCTTTTGTCTCCAACGGCCTCTCTAGCCACACGTTCTCTAACTGCTTGTGGGGCTCCCTGTGGACCCCACTCCCTGAGCAGCCACACTCTTTCAGCTCTCCAGGCCTTTAGGACTTCACTAATGCAGTTTTCTTTGCCCGGAGCACCTGGTCCTGCATTCTTCACTGTAACTCAAAACTTTTCAAGTCCCCGCTCAACTACCCCCTCCCTGAGGAAGTCTTCCTCAGCTCCCCAAGCAGAAGGTGAGCTTTCCAGGTGCCCAGAATGTCCTGATGGTGCCACTCGGTCAGTGTGCCCAGTGCATGGCCTAGTGTATGACCCCCTCCCTGTCCCTCACTCATCCCCACCCCGTGAGCTGGCCTATTGTCATACTCACATTGCCCAGAAGAGGGCCTGGCACACTGCAGGTGCCAGAGACATATTTGCTGAATGACTTCATGAACGGATGAATGAATATGTTGGTGACTGTGGAGTTTGGAGGTTAGGGCAGAAGATTCCAGAAGGTAGTGAAATTTTGCTGTGGACTGACTCAGAAGAGGCGCTGTTCTCTCCAGATTCTCCACTCTCCCCAGTTCCTCCCTCCTTGCGTCCCAGGATCTACCCCCCTGCCTCACATCAGTGCCCAGTCATACTGGACACACAGTAGAAGAAGTCATTCGCTGCTGTCACCTGTGTGTGGCCTGTGAAGGGGATGTGGAAATGCTGTCCCTAGAGGAGCTCAAGGACAATGCCCTGTTTCATAGAAATATTATAGTGTGGGGTCTGGGATTAGGCTGGAGAAGGAGAGGGGCCCTGGACTTCTGGCCATGCTTTGTTATGGGGCCGGAAGGTGAGTGGTGAGAGTACTGGGAGAGGGAGTAGGCTGTGTAAGACCCAGAAACTTAAAGTGTCCATTTTCCAGATCAAGTGTTTAACTCTGAGTGGAAAGCTATTGGCCTAAAAGTGTGACTAAGGTCTCGCATCTGAAAGGTCCCTGAACAAAGGAGGGAAGGGGTATAGAGAACATGAAAAAAGGCTTCATTATGCTAACTGGTTGGAAAAGTCCTGGCAATTAGAAGTTAATCAGTTTCCTTTAAACCCACAGAATATTTGCAGAGGAGTGGGCCAAGAGTATTTCCTCATAAAATCTGTTCTTCTTTTTTTTTTTTTTGGTGCAGGATCTAACTAGGGACCTTGAGCTTTCGAGGCAGGCGGTGGAACCACTGAGCTAAATCCCTGGCCCTCACCTAATAAAATCTGGGTGATGTTCAGGGAGATTGTACCCCCCATAGTACTCAGCCAATGAGGAACAAGGGGAAGGGACCTGCATGCTAGGGGATAAGTTGCTTGCTGTAACTACCTGAGGTGTGCCTGGCTGCTTGTGAGGCTGGTACCTACTCTCACAAGATTGAAAAATAAAGTCATGCTTTTGCCAAACTTCCCATCCTTGGTCTGATCTGTCCATTGCACATAATCAGTGCTGAGGGGGGCTTGTTGTTCACAGGGCTCCAAGAGAATCTCTGAATGGGGGTGAAGGAGTAGTGAGGGGATATGGAGGGCAGGATCTTCCCACCTTGATTTCCTGCCTTGCCTCTCCTAAAGCTGTAAAGAGCATGCAAGAAGCATTTAGGGGAGGGAAGATGCTGCATCTGCAAGCGTCTGTGGGCCTGAAGGGCAGCTCCTATAAAGGCATTTGCCACTATCAAAATGTGGCTGTGATTCATCTCACCTGCTAGTGCCTACTGCTGCTCCATACCCACCTTGTCTCTTCCTGTCTCATTTCCTGACTTGATTGGAGAACTGGCTTTTTCTCATGCTGTTCCTTTCACTCAAATCCTCTTTCTTCTCCTCTGCCATTCCTAATCCTCATTATCAGGGCCATGCCAAAGAAGCTTGTTGATGGCAGTTCCCTAAAATTGCAAATCTCTGGAGAGCAGAATGTGTTTTGTATGCTAATGAAATGACAGGTAGCTAGGGCTTCCCAGACAGCTTCAGGTTGGGGGCTGATCACCAGAAAGATCAAGGCTTGATTAGAGGACTAGAGATTTTAGCTTAAGGTTAATTTGATCACCAATGGCCTACTGTTGAATTAATCATGACTATGTAATGAATTGCCATAACAACTCTGAAGGGTAGGGTTCAGAGAGTTTCTGGAGAGTTGAACATGTGGAGGATTCAGGAAGAAGGTGGTGTTCCAGGGTGGCCACAGAGGCTCCCATTCTTTGCCACCTGCCTTGTCATAAGCATCTCCTCCCTCTGGCAGTTCCATTTGTCTAATAAATGGGAAAATGTAAGGAAAGGGTTTCCCTAGGTTCTGAGAGCTCCTCTAGCTAATTACTTGAAGAAAGCCATGGATTAGCCTTGATTTAAAGCTGTTCGGGTCAGAAGAACATGTGAGAAGCTATTTGTGACTAGGACTGAAGTGGGGATATCTTTATGACTGAGCCTTACATCTGTCTGACCTGATGCTATGTCTAGGCAGATGTGTAGGAACTGAAAATTGAATTAGAGGATTCCACACTGGTATTATTCATTGTAGAACTGCTTGATTGTTGGTGGGAGGAAATTCTCATAAAGATTTTGGTGACCAGATGTTAAGTGTTCTGTATTACAGAAAGAGTATAAGAGAAGGAGAAACACACTGTTTTATTTTCTATAACCCTCTTCAGGGACCTCAGATATGGGTCACATGCAGTGAGATTCCAGATGCCTTGGAGAGTTTTCCTAAAACTGGGACATCAGGTTGCCAGAAATTCCAGGCTTCTGTTGCTCCTTCATACCTGCATGTAAGTAATAAATTTGATTTGCTTAAATTTGTGTGGGAGTGTTCTGTGTCACTGAACTTACGCAAGTGGCAGAGGACCTGGGGCACCCTGAGCCCATGGCATAAACTTTTGTGGGCAGCAGAGCCTGGTCTTCTGTGTTCTTGGTGAAGTGGGAAAAGGCCCTCAGTACCTGGCCCACAGAGGGCATCAGCCTGGAGGTGCAGGGGCTGGATGTAAAGGTGGACAATCAGTGGGGAAACTAAGGTGACAAATGGGGCGCATCGTGAATATAAGGGGGCTTCATCATGGATGAAGGAAGAGAGAGAGGAATGTCAGGCCAGGGAGCATGGTGTATGCTGCTTGCTTTTGGGCATCTACATGACAGCCCATTCCTGAGGTTGCAGAGCTGAGGAAGTGGGCACCACTGAGACATGGAGGTACCGAAGAAGGATCTTGCCTATTCAGATCCGCACAGACATAGACCAGAATCAGGAAGCCTTATACAGACCAGCTGGTGTGTGTTTCATAAAGGGATACTGCAGACCCAAGTACCTCAGGCTGGATGATAACACTTCAAAAATGAGGTCACGACCTTCAGCTCTCCAGTGGAGGGCTGGGACTCCATAATCTTGCCCAGATAAAAGGAGGGAAAGAGGGGAATTAGGCTTTTCTGGAGCCCTTGGATATTGAGGCCCATACTTCTAGTTTCCCTTAGGGGAAATGTTAATTTGTTGATATTTGGAGCTCTGAAGGAGCCCTGTTGACCTACAATGAGTAGAGGTGCAGCAGGGCCACTTGGCGTGCCGAAAACCTTGGTTTCCTCTGCTAAACAAGTTACAGACTGTGACGGCATGGCTGCTTATGGCACAGGGCATCACTGCCACCTGAGGGGATGTGTCCCTTACATCTAAGAATTCAAGTCATAACAGTGGGGCATAACAACTCCTGCCTGTGCCTACCTAAGATACCCAATCCCTACTGGGCTATTCAATAGGGAAAGTACTACATACTTTTTTTTTTCCCCATTAAGTTTATTGGTACATTTTAGGTATAAAATACAGTTACATTTGTCATTGGGATCTTGTACCATTACATGAGTATCTTAGTTCTTATTTTTTTTCCCCTTCCCCTGCCCTCCCTTCACCCCCTCC